TGAAACAGACTGGCAGAACAATGTGGCTCCCACAGCTGCAAATACAGTCAAATCTGAGATAGAGCTGTTTTTGCAAGTCTGGAATGGCAGACGATTTTGAAATATAAGTGCATTGAAATAAATGTGTTATACAAGGACATAGCAGATGCCAATTCAGTGAGCAAACAAAAAAGCATAGCCCATCCCTGTGTCATTACAACTGCCTCATTTAAAGGGCAGTTTTGACCAGAATGACACATTTGTGAGTCACACAATGGGGAACAGCCTGTGACTTTGCTCAGAAATCTACCTTGCTTTGGCTTCCTGTCAGCACGGCTGAAAGACCAATACCTGTCATAGCACAATGTCCATGTGTGGCAAGAGGGCCCCAGTTTAACCCCCTGCATCCCTCAGGACCTGCTCTCACCCAGCTAAGAATGCAGAGCCAGTTGAAAACCACGCCTGCACACAGCCTCACTGCACACTCTGTATGGGTGGTTGACAACATGCACGTAGCCTTTATGCATGCATATTTTCTTGCAGTGTCTGAAACCAGACTGATAAACACCTCTTCAAACTGGTACTCAGCTTCATTCTCTGTTATCCAAACATTTCATCAAAGGCCACTTACCTACAAAGCAGACATCTCAACCCAAGCCAGACAAACCACATACCAATAGGCTTTTGAAAACAAGGAACCAAACCTGACTTTATTCGCTAATAGTGAAGGGGTGACAGCAGTTATTTTATATCTGCAATATATTGCAAATTCTGAAAGACTTAACTCTCATAAGGTGATTACACCATTAGTTAGCAAAACACTGTCATCCCCGAGGTGCCAACACAGCAGCTGTTTCAGCTGAACAGCAAAGAAAAGCCAAGAGGGCAAGCTAACAAAACTGGTAGTGCTCCCATGAGCAGCCCAACTTCTCCGATCACCCCCATGCTGCCACCCCATGACATGGAAGTGATCTTGCTCCAACAAGGGAACAAGACTTCAACTCTCTCTCTACCATCTCAACCACCCCAGCCTCCCAGAGGGCTGTACCCCCTCTTCCACGTGGGTGCATGAATGAGGGCTCTGACAAAGGGGCCATGTGTTCCAGCCTGAGCCCTGTATTTCTCAGGATATGGGTCCTCCCAAGAAGCTGGTCATACATAGCTGATCAACCCAGAAGGGATCTCTCTGGGCATTCATTCCTCTGACCCTCCGCAAAAGGGAGATCATAGAAACTACCTAAATGATCTCTCCTTCCAACTGCAGCATCAAAAGGAAAAGATCCAAAATAAAATTCCAGGAAGATAGCCTGTGATGCAGAGGCTATCACAGCTTTTTGATCCATTACTCTGTGAACAGGGCTGCATTTCTAGCTTAAGCATGTCTGGCTAAAACTGCCAAGTGCAGAGCCCTGCTCCTGAACTCTGAGCTGGGCAGAGCAGCCTTCCATCATCAGCTTCAGTTCCTCACCTCTTCCTTCAGGCACCTCCAGACCATGGCTGCATCACCACAAACCTCCCTGAAGGGTCAGTGATCAGACCCAGGTTGACGCAGCTGATGGTAAGGGACAAGATAGAGGACTATGGTGACCAGGGGGACAGGCTGGGACCCCTCTCCTAAGTAAGGGACTTGGGAGTTTGGATGGCCACCAGTGAGGTCCTACACACACTGACTAAGGATGCCACAAGAGAAACACTTTGCACCACAGCAAGTTTTGCACCACAGGCTGAAGATGGGTGGGCAGAAGGATGATCCTCTTCACAGCACTCCCCCTTTTAGATGACAGCTCTGACCACAGACTGTGGCTGTGATGTCCTTTGTCACATCAGGCAGGGCCCATGGTGTGACCCGCTGGGGCTCATTCCCTTCTCTTGGGGCCTGCAGCAGGCACTGGAGACACAACAGCACGGCCCTCCCAAAGAGGCATTCTTGGCAGCAGGGCAGTTCCTGCAAAGCCCACCTTAGGCTGTCATGTTCTGCCTCCCACGGGCTCTCTACAGTCAGGAATGAGGGAGAAACATCTCGTGAGTAGTACTTGTGGCAGCAGATCTAGCTTGGAGGAGGCTGGATCCTCTTAAGAGGGTTGGGAGCTAAATTCTGCTGGACTGAAGACATTTTGATCCCATTTTTGATATTTTTCATCCCGCTCTGTCACTTCAATACCATTACCATCCTTCCAGAGCACATTTGCTTAGAAACATCCCTGGTGGGACAGAAACAGTTCTGGGTTTGGGGTACCCAGTGAGGGCCCCTGAGCAGTGCCAGCAGCACAACAGCAAGCTGCCCACCAGCAACCTGCCCACCATTCTTCCCACAAGAAACTGGGCCAGGGATCCTGTTCATCTTCAGAGCACATCACACAGCAGCAATGGCAAATTACCCATGGAAAGTCTGCAAGCAGCCATGGGGCTCTCTGGTTTATGTATGCTGGGTTGTGCAGATTCAGGTCAAGAAAATGCACAGAGTTTGTTTAAAGACATTTTGTCTTCCACAGTCAGGAGAAGAAAGTGGGCCTATCATTCACAGGAAGAGGAAAGGCCTTACATTGCTCTGAGAAGGAGCAGGATCCCACACACCTTTCAATCATTCAAAGGATTTGGCCATCACATCCTCAAAAGCAGTGATAGGAAAAAGAAAAATCAAGCTGTTAATAAAATATGGAGACAGCTTAGGAATTTGCTTGTGAAAGTCCATGATAAAAAACCTCCAGCTGAGATCCAGCCTCTACTTCATAGTGCCCTGTGCTCTGCTTCATCTTTCCTTAAATGCATGGGGCACAGGGCTTCTGTCACTCCTTTAGCGTGACTGCTTAGAGTCTGAGAGGTTTCAGTAGTCTGAGGAAGCTTTTCCTTCACATCCAACTTAAATGTGCCATTTCTTGAAGTCATCCCCTTGTCTTTTATACTCTAGCAAGCAGAACAAGTGCAAATTAAATGAAAGACACATGAAATCTTTATAAAGCCCAGTGTTTCCCCTAGCATGAAAGTTCTTTGCATTTTAGAGTGGAAGGGGTCTTTACTCTGTGCTGTATTTTCCCCATCAGAAAATGAAGAAGAACATAAATTTTCCTCATTACTTAAATTTAGCTTAATCAGCAGCCCCCTGCTGATGTAATTCAACCCAATGAGATTTTTCTTTTTTTTTTCCTGGTGAGCTGCTGCCCCTTTTCCCATCCTCCCACCAATTCAGGCATGGAAAACAAGGGAGGAATTAGACAGACAAAACTTACTATCTGTCAAGCTCTGACTTCAGACTGGGCAGGAATAACATTTAAAATATAAAAAGCAAATTTTATGAAGCCTTTTCCTCCCCAGAGACTGCCACAAAAGTATTCCTTGTTTGTCACTGAGAATGAACCATTTTTCTTTTTCATTTCTGCTTTCTGTCACATAGTTCATTTTAGCTGCCCCTTCTGTCTTTCAGCTAGGGACCCATGCTGCTAATACAGAATCACAGGTAACTCAACAACAAAATGCCTGTATTATCTTTCTTTTTTTTTTCTTTTTTCCTAGTCTTTCAGGTAATGGCAACTCCAAAAGCTTTTGCATATTGACCACAGAAACATGTCTCTCCTGGAGGATGGGACTGTCATCAGGTAGAATATCTTATTTAATAAGCCTCTTCTAAGGTATAAACTAAGGCTGGGGATTTTTTTCCTGGCCTCCTTCAGAGCAAAGGACAAGCAGATAAAGATCAGCTGCTGCAGTGCTACGCTGTCAAAGTTCCTGTTCCTGTGAAAATTAACCCTCTCCAAGCTCAGAGTTCAGGTAGGCTTTGCCACTGTGAAATTAATGAAGTAGGAAAAGGGTCTGTTATCAACTCATGTTGGTTTTTCAACCCCAGTCCTCACCATGTATAAGACAGATTTCTTGTCTATTTACAAACAGATCAACTACCCTGCTTTTTTGTAACCCATCTAGTGAGCCTTGGATGCTGACAGGACTGATTTTCATTACATCCATCATGAAGGAGGATCGGATTTTCTCTCTTCGCCCCTGTTTCACAGAAGTACAATGACAAAAATGTGGTCTGAACATTTCTAAATTCAGCTGTTATCTAAAGACAAATTCCCTTCACCCCCTTCTCTATTTCCCCTCACCCCTGAAGCAGCAGTAGAACTGCTTTTCTTGGTCCCTACAATGCTGAATCCTTACAATCTGACTGCTACCAAAGAGAGGGCCTGAGAACATCTGCAAGAGAGACTTTGTGTCTTGGAGTCAAGACAGAGGGTGAGGATATAAGCCCCTTTTCATAACCCCTGCCCTGCCAGGGGTTATGAATAGAGACTGTTCTGATGAAACCGTTCAACAGGATGAAGAGGAATATACCTGGTTCACACATTTCACTTCAGGCTCACCTGTGCTGAGGTCACAGCTCCATCCTAGCACGTAACAAAGCACTGTGAGTGGGAATCAACAGAGAAAAACAGGTCCTCACTACAATACCAAATCACTGGCAATACTTGCCTGGAGGAGAGCTGACAAGAGCCAGCCAGAAGACTCCCATTGACTCAGAGCCTGTGTGAAAACTAATCCTTGACAAACCATCTTCTGCATCCATACAGTTTTCCTGTGGGCCAACCTTACCCTTGTTACGTCCCTGGTTTCATATATGAGTACTGACTGGAAGACACATTTGAGACTGTTTGATTGACTGTTTAGGTTAAAGTAATCCTGAAACCAAGAACCTACATCCAATGACTTGGAATGGAAATGTGGACATCCCCTCTTCTGGAAAGAGTTCCAGAGAGAACAAACTGATAGAAGTGAAAAGACTTTCTAAACTGTAACTGGCAAAATCTATTTTTGCAACACTTTATGATTATTTAAACTTACAATGGTTTTCAATGCAAGTAAACTCCAAGAGGTGAGGACATCATTTTTTCTTATCATCAACAAGCTATTCTAAGAGCCATCTCTGTTTAGAATTAAGGGATGAATCTCATTCATTTAAATGAATGTAAGAAAATTCCCATAGGTAAAACTACTTCTCCTAGGAGTGTCACATGAGCCCAGTCTCTTACCTGTAGTATCTGGATTGAAGGTAAGTAGAACACACAGCCTTAGACACATGGCTAGCTGAACCAAAGTCTATGACCTTGACCCTATATGGCTGTCGGGATGGGTCTACCAGCATGATGTTCTCTGGTTTGAGATCAGCATGAATCAGTCCCAGGCTTTTCAGCTTCATTAGGGCAGTTGCTACCTGCTGGAGAATTGGTCGAATGTATTTAAGGGGCAAGGGACTGAATTTATTTTGTTTTAAGAAATCATAGAGGTTCTGCTCCAACATTTCAAATACCAAGCATGTGTGATTCTTGTGCTGGAAGCATTCATAAGCACGGACAAAGTTGTAGTCATCCGCACTTTCCGTGCTCAGCCGAGCCAGGATGCTCACTTCAATCTGGCCTTGCCGGGCATAAGAAGGGTGGTTTTTTAGGATCTTGATAGCCACAATCTCATTAGTGCCACGTTTCCAGCATTTGACTACTTGTCCGAAGGTTCCACGGCCAAGAAACTCTAACACTTCGTACGTGTTGGTCATGGAACAGAGCACCTCATGTTGCACCAGCTGGTAATCCCCTTCACTGTTGGAGCCACTGTTTTTGGAAGTGGCCGTGGAGGTGGTGGCGGTGGCTACAGTGGCCCCACTGGCATTGTTCTGAATCATTGGTGGATGCTCCTCGATAATCTGCACGCTGCTCGTGTTCTCAATCTCCTCACTCTTGCGCTTAAGTCCACATTTTTGGTAGGTGTCCAGAAGGCTCACAGTGCTGCGACGCATCAGGTTGTGTGGCCCGCCCAGCGTTTGCCCAGACACCGCAACCACACCAGAAGTGCTGTTGGCAGATGTGACCACGATGTGCCCCGTGCTTGCTGGGAAGATGATGGTCTGCTCGTAAGGGATGCTGGGGTTGGGGATCTGCAGGGAGGCGTTGACGGCTGCTGCGGCGGCTGCTTGGGAGGACTGCACGTTCTTGCCCTGGTTGTAGACTTTGCTGTGTGTGCCGTACCCAGTCATATCCCAGTTCGAACTCGGCTCCACTTTCAGTTTCTTCACGCTACAGAAGGCACTTGACTGAAGGGTATGAGGAGAGAAAACTTGCACATGCGAGGCCATACCTGCAATACAACATCAGAGTGAAACCACTGTGTCAAGATGCCTTCCCCAGCTTTTTTCATTTGTCCAGTGGCAGGAAAGGGAAATGGGATACAGGCTTCAGACACATTACATGCACACACACACAAAAGCAAGTTCTTCCAGAAATATGTATTTGACACAAGTAAAATATTATGCTCTAAAATAAATCCTTACCCCAGATTGAACTACACTAACAACATTCAAGATTTCTGTTCTCTTGCTCTCCCCCTTTTCATTTTTAATAACAGGAATGTACATGTTATTTTTACCTCCTCTGCCTAAAGAGACTCCTATTCCCATTGTCTCCAGGAATATATCTAGCTCTCTGGAAGAACTCATGTCAAATACTGCAAAGTATTCTGACTACAGAAGCCAAATCTCAAATCCTCAGGCTCATCCAATCCTAAGCAGTTTGGTGGATCTGACTTAAGCCCTCCACTTACGCCCATAAAACCACTGTGTAGCTTCTGGCCTGCACAGAGTGAAGATGGGGCCAGGAGATGATACACTGAGCAAATGGAGGTGCACAGATAAAGTTGAGGAGCCAGAACAGAAGATGATATTTCAGATTCCTTGCCAACTCTGTGAGTGGGAATTGTGCACAATGCTAGTCTGTGCTCAGGACTGGAGATGGCAGTTACACAACATGAGCTTCACTGTGTGCTGTCAGTGCTCCCAGATTTATAAAATTTTGTTAATCTATTCTTATTCACAGTGACAATACCATCACCGGGAAGCAGATCCCCTGGAAATGAACAGCATTGTTTATGAAGCAACACATACATTAGCATGTGGCAGAATTAGCTCCTAATATAGCTTTATTTTTACAGGAAAGAAAAAACCTATTTTAATGCAAGCTTATTTGGTTTCAGAAGAGTTAATGATCTTCTAAATCTTTTTAAAAAAACCCAGACCACCAAAAAACCACCCCACAACCTCATAACCAGAGTGAAAATAATGCATCACTGAGACAGACTTACTGAAGGATTCTGAGTAATATTCCACTGAAACAGAAAATGTGCCTATTCAGAGAAGAAAAGATGTGGTGCACGGAGAAGGGGACAGCTAAGTCCTGACTTGCTGCCAGCTTTCCCTCCCCAGAGTGGGGATAGTACTGCTGGGGCAAACATTTTGTGAAGAACACAAATCCATGGGGACTTCTGAGGAAGGAACCGGCACCCGGCAGGAGTTAAGAGCAGAAAGGCACAGCCTCCTTCACTCTTCTATCTGTCATCAGTGTTTCTTTTTAATAAACCAGAATGACTAGGGAAGAAAAAGACAATATGCTGAGCTGGCACCATTGTTGAATTATTAAGCACAAACATAACCTTGACTTGTTTTCAACTTAAAACAGTCAAAAGCTGAATGAATGCTTCAGTAACAAAGCCACAACAAACTCTGCAGTGCACATGGACGACTTCTTCATCTGGAGGCATGACAGTATCTGACTTGGCCTCCTCATACTTCACTAGTCCATGTTCCTCTTCAGAAGATTTCCTGGACCTCGTGTACACAGACACATTCACACACATGCATGCATAAACTTACTCATATAGAAAAATGTGAATGTCACTCCACACTCACAAAGCTCAGTAGTCAAGTTAACAGATCTAAACACACCCAACTCTCTTTTTCCACTTAATTCCCAGCAGCCCAAAGGCCAGGAGTGGCTCAGGAGAGGGGTGCTGTGCTGAGCCAAAACCTACCCAGAGTAACTACTCAGAAGTAACAGGCCAAGCAATCTCTCAAATTTGCTTCAGCACCTGTGCCTTCACCCCTTCCACAGTGATGAATTTCTGAGGACAGATGCAGAAGAAAACCCCTTCAGGACACAGGGGGAAACCCTCACCTGGGCTTTAACGCAGCACACAAAACCCCACTGATCCCAGTCTAGCAAGGGAGCCCTGCAAACCATAGCATGCTGCCCTCTGCAGACATGACCCCTGTCTCCAAGTGGATTTATGATTGTTTACTGTTGTTCCTTTTAACTCCATTACCCCCTGCTCCCCCAGCCTCCTGGGCAGCAATTCCCAAGGCCCCTGCAACTGGAGGCTCAGACACTCTCCAGCTCCTTGCCCTGCTAGAGAAGTACCTTCTCTGCTCTCTCCTTTTCACAGGGCAACGATGCTGTCACGAATGCTGGGCATGTGGTGGGCTGCGAGCTCGGAGAACCACAGCAGTGCTACTCAACTTGTCGTCCTGGACACAAAGATCATGTGTGAGTGAGCCAAAACCGTGTTTGTTTTTCCACTGATTAAGAAGAATCACGGTGTTCCTTCTAGTACAGTACTGACCTGCCTGGAGAGAGGGGGTGGTTTGATGTATGTTTTCCCCCTGGACGCAAATAATATGGCAGATGTAATTGGTAACATATTGTGGACCTAGGAGAGGTGTAATTTATAGTTTTATGGCTTTCATTCCACGGCGTGCTTGAGCAATCTCTCTTCGTAGAAAATGAAAAGGGAAAAAATGACTGACGCAGACTGAGGAGAGACGTTCTTCTCGCACTCTCCTCTAAAGATAACACCAAAAGGCTGAGGCATAGCAAATTAAAGTCAAGGATGTGAAGCACAGCAGCTGCAACTTTCTCAGCGCCACTGTAAAAATCAGGATAATCGCCACCATTAAGGGACAGGCTTTCAACTGGTGCAAACTGGCAGGGCTCCACTTGATATCAGCTGACGCTAAAAACAAGGTCAGCAGTCACTCAACATTGTCAATGTCAGATGGCTGCCTGCCCCCTTTGGTGAAACGAGTTGTTGTTAGGGACTGGTTTCCACATCAACAACCAGCCCCTTGCTGTCCCTGAAACACTGCTGGCAGCCTCAGCAGAGGACAGGAACAGGGGATGAACACTGACTCACCCCAAAAATGGAGGGGATGAAAGAAGCAGTGCTTCTGTGGATAAAGCGGGGACTTTGGACTCTTCTGCTGCCAGTGCTGCCCTCTTCAGAGGTTATATCTCATCACAGAAAAGGTTTTTTCATTTTCTCTAAAAAAAGAACTATGAAATCTTCTTCCTTACATCCAAAATTATTTTCTCATGTTTGAGGTTTTAAGGGCATGCATTCTGAGGAAAATAACTCAGTGAGTTCCTCAGCACAGTCCGATATGAAGAAATTACAGGCTGATTGACAGCTTGGTGAGGGGAAAAGGCGGCTTCTGCAGAAAAGTAATTTTTATTGCAAATTTTCCTGTGCAGTTAATGCGAGAAAAACACAATCCTAAATTTCCTGAGGACACAATAAAACTGTGCTGGTGGCATGTTGTTTCTTTCAAAATGGATTTTTGCTCCATGGCAATAGCAGGAATAGTAATAAATGTGAATAAAAGTTGGACGGTTTTGTTACAGGAATCAAATTCCTCATTACAGCCTGTAATATGATTTACACCTTCAGCCTTTTGATTACACAGGCTGACAACAGCTTGCCACAACATCCATGAGGAAACAAGCCAGCAGTAATGGGGTGATCCATGCCAGCCGAGCCCAGTGGCACCAACATCTCAGAGACAGTGGGAATGCCCCCGGGAAGCATTCTTGCTCCTGGGGTCTTGGAAAGACAGAGGGCCATAAGCTGTGGAGGAATGGAAAATGGGATGTTTCACTTGGGAAAAGTTCTCTTAACCCCCCATTCACAGGTCTGACAAGAAACCTCCTGTGCAAGGCTGGACCTCTCATATCACTTCCCTTCTCTGCAGGAAGATCCAAGCAGTCACCTTTCTGCATTTTGCATGGAATGCCCAAGGCTGGCACCTGGCTCCTCATCTTTTTGCACTCTGCCAGGAGTGGAGGGAGTGAGGACACTTGGCATGAGCAGTTTCACCCGCGGAGCATTCCTGCCCACCTGAAGCCCAGCTCTGCAGCCCCACCTCCACCACCAAAAGTTTTGGCTGGATTAAGCCAAGTGGCAATTCCAGCTGAGCTGGTCCCTGCCCTGGCATGGGTGCAAGGCAGGCCTCTATTAGCCAGCCAGGATGAAGCCAAGATGCCACAACAGCTAAACAGATGTCCTGAAGAGTGTAAGTCTAAGTTTTATGTCACCCCTGAGCACGGCTAATCTCTGGGCTGGGAGCAGAATCAGGGTTGGGCACCATGCATTAGATAAAATGGATAGTTCCTTTCTTTAATGAGTTTAGTGTAGTCATTTAAAGCTCTCACAAAACTGAGAGTAACTGGATTTAATGGGGCCTTCCCCGTCCTTCATATGACTCACATAACTCCTCACAGCATCTACATGAACTGAAGTAGGTAGGGTGCAGCCAGGGGACAGTGTTAAAACAGCTGGAATGACTTTTATTTAAAGACTTGAGGTTTTTTGTTCCTGAGAACTCCTCCCACGTCAGCTTTCACTTAATAATAATTTAGCAGGTGCTATTTACAATTCAGATGGCCCTCTTCTGCATGCACACACAAATCACGCAGCCGCCCCACTTGTACTTCTAACAGGTTTCAGGAAAGCAAATGAGGAAAAGTTCCCTATCCACCCACGTCACCCTAAAGGGCAAAAAATACACTTTGGGGACTAAAGAAGGAACAGTTTGAAAGTCTCTGATGTTTTCTTCTGGTTTACTCCCAGCACTTACTGCTGATTTTTAAGTGTGGTCTTTGAGGTGGCAAGAGACCGAGCCGGTGCCCTGTATTAAGAAGGAAGTCAGACCTTCTGCAGTACCTGCAGAGCTGCCAGTGCTCTGTAACCAGAGGCTGCTTCCTGGCTGCTGCCAGAACGACAGTGCCTGCTTGAAAAATACTGTAGAAAGCACACGGCGTGTGTTCAGCATATAAATGATGCTGGCAAGACAATACTGAAATAAGTATCTTCCACTTCTCCCCAAAGAGGCACGAGCCTGCAAACCCATATACACGCCCAGGCTGAGAAGGCAATGAAAAGGGGATCTACCAGGTATGGCTAATGCATTGCACCTTCAAAACAGCCATGTCTCAAGCACAGCACCCTTCTTCACAGTGGTCCCTGTGTGACTC